CAAAAACAAAAACAAAAACAAAGAAAAAGAATTAAATTGTGCCGGTAATGATAAAAAACTCGCCTTCATCACTTTTTTTAATTAAAAATTATGTTGCATTTTTAACATATTTATAGTCATCTGTTAGAATATGTTTTATTTGTGTCCTAAAAACATGTTTTTGAAAGCTGTCCTGACCTGACCCCAACACAAACACAAACATACCCTATCACCAGTTTAATTAAAGCATTTAGAGCTGATTAAGACTGCAGAGTTGGCAGCTTGCCGCTCTTAACATGTCTCCAAAGCCCATTCAGGACCGACCTCTTAACTATGCACCATGGGATAAAGTATAATTTAGTGAATTTCATCTAATATTTCAATCTCTGGTATGCCATGTGCCCAGATTGGCAGATGGGATTCAAGGGCTGGCATTGCACACTGTCTGAAACTCAAGTCAATTGCTCTTTGCAAGGCTATAAATACACACATGAGTAATGATTAATAAGATGAATAGCAAACTAACTTAGCAAATATTGAGAGAATTGACTGATTTCTTTACATTTGTATTCTTTAACCTTTGTGTAGTTGTTCCAAACTCTTGAAAAAAATAGAAAATAATTAAGACTTTGGCATCTTGTTGTCAGTGCATATCTGTGTGGCTTTTCTACGTAGTTCTTTTTAACAGAACATCTAAGAATAGAAAAAAATACCAAGGACTTCCTGTTTTCTAAATGATGAAATAATTTCCTCCCCTAATTGTTTCCAATTCAGTTGTAGCACAAGAAAAAGTAAAAGAAAGAAACTAAACAAATGTTAAATCAGAAAAGACAGATGCAAGCTCCTACAGCCTATCTGATGCGGGAAACGTTTTAATTCGGGTTTACTGGGCTGGATTCGCGCTCAGGTCTCTGTCTGGAGGACAATGCTGCGGTTCTTCGCTGAATGCGCGTCAACGGAATCCCGTAGTGCGTCATCAGGCAGCTATTCTGTCGAGCGAGCTCCCTGATTGGCTGCGGCTTGGAAACCTCCCCGCCCACCGCGTTCACTCGCGTGGAAACCTCTCTGTGGCGTCATGGAGACGCTGAAGTAAAGTATAAGAGCTGAGCGAGGAGCAGGGACCGCCGCTCAGCTGGGAGACAGACGCTGGACATGACAGACGCTCCTTCATAGACGGTTTGAACACCCGTTCGGACCAGAAAGGTAAGAAATACTTTTAATTCCTAATTAGGTGAAAAACAAAACAAACTTAACGCTCATTAAATACGTTCATTTTCATTATTGTTTCGGTTGCAGTGGCTTCATAATTATAAGATATCGGAAAAAGACAGTCGCTTGTAATAAAATAATAATGAATTTAAGAGTGAATTGATCAAAATGTTTTATTATCCTTGGCATAGATGAGTTAATTTGAGCCAACTTGTTGTGCACCATGTGTTATATGTTGGACGGGTGCCGATGCTTTAAAATCCAATCTCTCTGCACTTCAGGGTTTCTATGAAGCAGCTGATAAATAATGATGTGACTGGTATTATAACCTTCTAGGCTGCCATACCAGTTTTATGGAAACCTACAAACCCCCTAGGAACCCAAATTTAATTTCTGAAATTACGTCATCAACATATATCTTACTAAATAAAGGTTTAAATTAACCTATAAAAGTTCCAGGGTTTTACTCTGTTTATTGTGTTTACATTTTTGATTAAAAACACATTTTGAAAGTATTGTGTATTTTTAATATAATTTAATTATAATGTGAAACCTATCTTATTATATGGAGTCTTTGAGCTGTTTTTTCAATTTCTAAGCAGTGCCACAGATTATTTTTTGTTAAGATTGAATATTCAAGGTTTGAGAGAAAAGCAGCTCTGTGCATCACCATGAAAAAACAATAGTAATGTTGAGGCAGCGTCACGCTTTGACAGGAGAAGCTGGTCAGAGTTGATTGGCAGATAAAAAAAAAAGTTAAATACACAGAAGAAAACTAGTTTAAAGCTGTAAAAGACTTGTTTTTAGGTTCACCTTTCAGCTTGAGAACAACTATGATCATACGGCCAAAGCTCCTGTTGAAGGGTTAAAGTCTATTTGTTAGATTGGCCTAGTCAAAGTCTTCAGACTTAACTTTACATCTGTGGAAAAAAACATGACTTTTATACGCAAAGGAGCCTCTGTCTGATCTGCCTCTTCAAAAATAAACTCAGATCACAACACACATGCTCACTCCGAAAGATCTAGAGATGAAGAGCAAAAAAATGGTTGATCAAAAACCATAGACACAAGACGATTAGAATGAGGAATGCAAAGTTTATTTGTACTTTATTTTTTTTTTTAACTTTAAAGGTTGAAAACCATCCTTTCACTTAACTACAATTTATTACTTTATATTTAGACAATCCCATTAGCGCCCACTGTAGACAGTAGTTGTAGCATGAGAAAATGTAGATTTAGAGGTCTAAATATTTTGAAAAGCACTAAAAAAGCTGACTTGTCTTCCTCTATTTAACATTTCTTAAACCTATTTTACAGTTTTTGCAGCCATGACATGCATACATCCCCAGCATGGATCTCAGTTCTATGAGAACAGCATGAGCAGCTTGGAATCTCAGGGTATAGACCTCACCTCTTGGCTGGACATGAGTAACCCACGGGACCCCGTCTCAACCTCCTCTCTGGCCAGCGCCAGCCAGGTGCTGCGCACGCCCTCTGAGGACTATGAAGCCTATTCTTGCCAGTTCACTACAGCCCCTGCCCATGTGACCTCTCCTTCGGACCAGGAGGGACATTACAGCATGGAGGAGCTTCAAATTTACGGCTGCTACCCAGGGTCACTTATGCTGAACTACCCGAATGAGGCCATGTCTCCCAGTGGGTCGGATTATTATGGCAGCCCTGCAGCAGCCTCATCTCCCTCAACGCCTGGATTCCAGGCCCAGCAGGCCTCGAACTGGGACTCAGTCTTTGGGACATATTCAGCCAGTCCTGAATGTTGGATGGCTAAGGACATCTCAGGACCAAATGCATCCACTTTATTTCCATTCAGTTCTGGGCCTGCAGAGGACGTGTCTTCTTTTAGTCCGTCACTTTTGCAAGAGCAGGAACTGTTTGCTTTGGCTCATCCTCTTCCTTCCGGACTGACCTTCCCGTCTGTTGTGAGGGAGCAGGGACTCGGTCTTCATGGCAGCGAACAGCTGGACACTAGCTTATCGCCCAAGCTGAAACGTGGAAATGAAGGTGACTGTGCTGTGTGTGGAGACCACGCCTCCTGTCAGCACTATGGGGTTCGCACCTGTGAGGGATGCAAAGGCTTTTTCAAGGTAAACATTTCACAGACGTATATAGAGCACCGTTATCTTTGTCAGTCTTGCAGAAGTTTGAAACTCTTGTGTCGTGTTTAACAGCGCACAGTGCAGAAAAATTCCCGATATGTTTGCAATGCAAACAAAGACTGTCCGGTGGATAAGAGGAGACGCAATCGGTGCCAGTTCTGCCGCTTCCAGAAGTGCCTCGCTGTGGGAATGGTGAAGGAAGGTGAGAAAAATGCAGGAAATTCTTGGGATTTCATACTAGAGATCAGCTGAGAGGCAACTAGAGAAAAATCATACACTATGAAAATACTTTGTCACAGCTTCATAGTCAGTGCATACAAGGACTTCCTATCCTCAGGTATCTCCTAACCTATAGCATAAAACAGTCCTCACTCTGTGAGCTCAGGTTAATCATTCTGTTTCCACCTGCAACATCAGAGAACACATCTAACACAACACCAATGTTTGAATATTACATTAAAAATATAAAGTTATTTAACAAGGAAGCCTGTTTGTAGCCTGATCTAATTCTAACTAAATCTGTGCTCATCTTTAGAAATTAATCTGTTCTGCTGCTTTAAGACAATAACCTTCATATAATAGTTTCTTTTAAAGGGAATTTGCATCCTGCATTAAAATATTCAGAAATGCTTAAAAAAATTTTCATGATTTATCAAGTAAAATTTAAGGTAAAGCGTATGTTTTGGAGAATCGCATCAGGTAGTCAAATAAACCTCAACTGTTAGGAGAACCGAGCAGATTTAGGAGCGTCTCTGTTCACGTCAGGTGTTTTTTTTTTTTTTTTTACTGAACCTTACGGGACATTAAGAAACATCCCTGATTCATTAAAGAGAAAGAAAAGAGATTGACGCAAAAAAAAAAAGATTCATCCTTTAGGCTACCCTTTAGCCTTTATGGTCTCTGATTGGTAAACCATAAACATTAAATAACTGTAATTGTTTTTGTTCTTACAGTTGTGAGGACAGACAGCCTGAAAGGCCGTAGAGGTCGCCTTCCTTCAAAGCCAAAAGTGGTCCAGGACACGCCAGCCCCGATGTCCCAAGTGAACATGATTGCTTCGCTGGTTAGGGCCCAAACAGAGTCTAACCCCTCTATGGGAGCTCTGGATTATTCTAAGGTGAGAATAAACACCTTTATCCTATTTTCCTGTATTCCTTTTCAGTTCAAATGGTGTACTTTAACCAAATCATGTGACCTAACATCTGCTTTGTTCTTTACTTGCAGTATGCTGAGCAGAAATTCAGCATGGACCAGAAAGAAGATCTCAGTCATGTCAAACTGTTTTATGACCTCCTCACATCATCCTTCGAGTCCATCAGGAAATGGGCAAAGGACATCCCTGGTTTCTCCGATTTCTGTCACGAGGATCAGGAACTTCTGCTGGAGTGTGCATTCATCGAACTCTTCATTCTGCGTCTGGCATACCGGTCAGTACCACTTCTAACCATTTGTTTAGATTTGGGGACGTTAACAAATTATAGACATTACAAAAAAAACACCAAAATCAACTTTTTTTTTTTATGCTTTTAAAAAAGGTCACAGCCAGACACAGGGGAACTCATCTTCTGCGACGGCACCGTCCTCCACAAAACGCAGTGCATTCAAAGCTTCGGGGAGTGGATCGTCTCCATCCTGGAGTTTTCTCAAAGCCTCCGCTGCATGAAGCTGGATGAAGAATCGCTCGCCTGCCTCGCTGCCTTGGTTATAATCACTGGTATGACTGACATTCTGATCTCCATTTAAGTTCAAAGAGACACATGCTTTGGCAGCATGCAAAGAATACAAACAGTAAACCTCCTTCAGGTTTTATTGTGTTTAAGTAACATAGAACTGGAGGAACAGGTGCATGGCAAAGAGTAACATAAGCTAATTTATGACAAGTGATATATAACAGCTGCATGTCGGAGTAAAGGTTAACGTCTCTGCCCAAGACTCCCACACACTCACTGAACCTTTTTTTTTTTTTTTACATTTTATCAACTTACAAACACAAATCTTGTTTTTATCTTATGTAAATCAACACAAAAGAGTGTCTTCCATATATCAGTCACCTTAATAGGGTCCACCTAAATAAAAATCACCTGATTTTAGTACTAGTCCAGCTGTTCTGTGAAGACAAAAGTTGTTTTTAGAGAACATAAAGGGAAAAAACAATCATGAAGACTAAGGAACACAGCAGAAACATCAGAATGAAAAGCAAAATTATATCTTAAAACATTATCCAAGGGATTAAAAAGCTTATTGAGCTCTGATAAGTCCATCATCTCAAAAATGTAGTGTGACAACTAACCTTCCAATACAACGCTACTACCTGAAATGGCATGTTTGAAGTAGAAAGTAGCAGTTTAGCTTGACAGATTGAGAATGAACACCATTTCTATGCAGAACTAGTACCAAGAAACCCTGATCACATAATTTCTAGGCTGATATTAGCTGTTGGCAGCTTCGTGGTGCAGGGAACTTTTTCTACAACAGTAATAGAAAAATGTATTAAATGTGTCTGGGAAGATAAGTGATACATTTCGGACAATTCGGGGAAAAAGCCTACTTAAAGCTACTAAAGATATGGGGGGGTTCCCTCTCAGCACATCATGGCTTCAAACATGCAGCAAGAGCTTCTCTGAAATGGTTGATCAACGGCCTAGTCAAATCCAATAAAATACCGGTGCTAGGAATGAAATGATGTACACAGAACTCCTAATCTGACTAAAAAGGTGGTAAGATGCAAAGAAAAATAAACTGTAAGTGCAGAAAATTGGTTATATAAAAAGGTGTTTAGTGGGAGAACAACTTTGTTCCTTTTTCAGTTTGCATATCAAAACAAACTTAACTTTACAAATAATCCTGTTTGCTCCATAACCTGAAATCCCACTAAAATATGCTGTGGTGGTTCAAATAATATAGATCATTTCACAAGGGAGAGAAAATAATGCAATGTTGTTGGAAAAAAAAAGTTTAAAATCTAAAGGATATTGTTTTTCTTTCTACTTGCAGATCGTCATGGTTTAAAGGAGCCCAAACGGGTGGAGGACTTTCAGAACCAGCTCATCACCTGCCTTAAAAACCACATGTCTGGATGCAGTTCAGAGTCTTTGCCACCTAATTACTTGTCCAGACTTCTTGGGAAGCTGCCTGACCTCAGGACTCTGAGCACGCAAGGCCGCCAGCGCATCTTCTACCTGAAACTCTCGGATGTTGTTCCCCAACCTCCAATTGTGGAAAAGATTTTTATGGACACGCTATTATTTTGAAATGTAGGAAAATCGTTTGCTTTTTCACCCGCTTCAGGTGAAATGGTGGGAAAAATATGGACTATATCCTTAGCAATCCTGTAGTTTGGTGCTACTTAGTTGACGCTTGTTGACAGCTTATGGATCGAGTACAACGTAACCATCATGGTGGATTGTTTTGGAAAGCTTTCGTCTGAAGACGGAATAGGAAAGGTCCATTCAAAAGACCAAATGGTGACTATTGTGAGCGAGGGAATGCTGACAAGCATGTCCAATCGGCTATAATGTGAATACAGACATTGTGCAGCTTTTTCACCAAATGCAAGCAGGAAGCATTATGGGAGATCTGAAACATAAGTGAAAATAGTTTTATTCAAATGATTTTACAAAACCAACTTCCGTATAGATTTTTCTTTTCTCAACATGTGGGGCATAAGTCTTACAGCTTATTTACACTTTATATTTAACACCACCAGAATTTTTTGGTGAGTAATTAGCTGAAATTCACATATTCGGCAGCAGCATTCATGTATCATGAATTGGCAATGATCAGCTAATATCAGTGTGTTCTTTCCTCTTTATGTAGAGTCTTACACACGTTATTTCAATCTGTATTAAACAGCTGTTTTAAAACAAATATCCAATGTACAGTGTTTTTTTTTTTCTATATGTAAAGGTGGAACTTCTGAAACTGAAATAAATGCAGAATTTCCCATATCTTCTTGAATTTTTTTTTGCAACCATCAAGACATACTGTCAGCTTGTAAACCTGTGTAAAGTACAGACTTATTTTAGCAGCCAGTGGATGACCCCCATGCACCCCCCCACCCAGATATGTACTAGTCTCCATTTAGAAAGCGATGGAACTCCCCCTGCCTTGTCTCAAATAACCTAGACTGCTCTATCATCATGTTATGCTATTTGGTTTTATGAAAGCATGAATGTGTCAGAGTGCTTGTAGTAGGCCTACCGAGGTCCCCTGAGGACATCATGACTCCAACATGGTAAGACCAAAAGAAATTGGATCATTGATTAGCTGAAATAAAGAGCCTGGAGTGAGAGAGACCGGAGCAGAAAGGACAACCAAACTCTTCAGACATGAACAGTTTAATAAAATGTTGCAAAAATAAAAATAAAACAAAACAAGGCAAAAATGTGTTTGTTTAAAAACAGCAAAGACACTACAGTGAAAAAAAAAAAGATGAGCCAATCACGATTAGCCAGAAATACCAACTGGTCTCAGTCTATTGTAAAGCAAAGTCAGCACCACAGATACCTTCAGTTACTATGCATCTAAACAAAACTAGTTTTATGGCAGGGGCCTGGTTTTTAAAGACAGTCCAGAGTCCTGATGTTAGTCTAACTGACCAGGCTTTGCATTTGGGATCATTGTGTCCAAGATTGTCCTTTGGCTTTTATTTTAGGCAGGTTTAAATGATTGGAAGGTAGTCAATCTTCTAGAGATTCCCTCTGCAATGCACAAGCTCATATAGGAGAGATTGTACCCCACAGCATGATTTTACCACCATGCTTAGGGTTTAACAGAATGCCTTTAGGATCAAGTGTCATTTGGATGCATTTATTTTAACACCAAAGAGCTCCATATTTATCGTTATTTAGTGTTTTTTTTGGTCATATAAACACTGAAATTAGCAGGCAAATATACATATTATTAAAAAAGGACAATTACAATGTGGCTTAGCTTACCCTACTGGCAGGCCTAATTTATAACAATCTTAAAATCACTCTCCTTAATGCAAAGGGCACAGTTTGGTTCAGATGACTGAAATTTGGACACAGCTTTTCGACCAACTCCACTAACATTTACAATCAACTTGAAGTGATAATTTAGCATGAGCAGGTGTTCTGCAACGCACCAATCTCAGGTCTAGTACAGTAACGGAACATAAAACTGATGCTTTCATAACCTTGCAAACATCTAGAGCTTATGCAACAAGAGAAACTGGATAGTCAGCATCACTGATTACACAGCCTCCCTGTGTGATGGTACGCTGATAAAGATAGCGTGGACAGCAGCTCCCTTATGACCGAGCCAACGCCATGCCTCAGTTGTAACTCTGGAAAGTGAGAGCAATGTGAACGTGCCCCTTTAGGCATGCAGACAATAACGGATCAGAAACTTCAGGCAGAGTCGTAGGGCAAGAGGCCAGCTCTAAGAACCAGACTGCTCCTCACACACACAAAAAAAAGAAACTGAACGAGTGTTGCTTCACAATAAGAACACACCTAGGAGGTACGAGTTTCAGGAACATTCCTGAAAATTGATGGTGAAGGCCAAGTGATGAGTTTAATGGTCAGGTCGGTATAGCTGCTTGATTTGGACATCCTGTACCGAGTTATCCGATACCGACGCAGGGCACGAGGCTCCCGTCAAGCTTAAAATGGCACCAATTCCTCAACAGTATGTGATGAATGCTTAAGCACCCACTCATTTAAAGCTTTTTTTTTTTTTACACTAAAACAGAGAATGAGATAATTTAAAAGAAAAAAAAAGAAAAAAAAAAAAAAAGGACTGATTCAGCAGGCCTTGGGGTCTATTGGTTGGAACCAGACCATGGTAGAGTAGTGGGAGCTCTGAAGTTTGGACCAAGGTTGTTCGCCCCTCTGTAGGACAAGAAAAACAAAACAAAAAAACAAATGCTTAGTATAATAGAAAAATAAAAAAAAATGTTGAGTAGAGTGAATTGTATGACTAATTTGGTTACACATGTGACCAGTTTCTCTCCCCCCATTTTATTAATTTTTTTGCATTTTGTCTTCTGTAAAAACTTTCACCAATTATCCACCTCAATACCTCCACATAATAACCTCCCAACAGCTCACATGCTTCAAACCAAGTCTGGTTTGTGATGTTTTACATATCATCTCCAACTCTTCCACACATTGTTAAATTTGTCAATCTCCAAACTTATTGATGCAGTCATTTTCTCCATAACATACATACTTTACATTACATCAATCCATTCTTCCACTGTAGGTGCCAGAGTACGCCATCTGCTGGATATTGCTTTTTTAGCGGCCATTAGCAGAATTCTCAACATTTTGTCCTCCTTCCCCCTTTTTAAATTTAGTGTGTCAATATTCCCAAGATATTTAATTTCAAAACAAAGGGGATTTTTTTTATTTTTATCCCCTCTTCAACAACTCTTTATTTCGTTCCAAAACTTCTTTATTAAAGTGAGCCCCAGAATAAAAGAAATTGATCAGCTTTTCCGGCACCACAGAATCGCCAGCGCTGGGTACAGGGTCGGACAGGGAACGATTTTTGGCCCTGGCATTTTTCCATCTATGGTGGCCCACTACCGCACGCCCCGCCGAAAAAAATAAAAATAAAAATAGAAGCGCAGTCAAACTGCTCAAATGTGAAACACAATATGATTACTCATTGTGGATCAATCAATCACACAACAATCACCAAGACTTCTATAATGAGGTTTTACTGGCTTTGGTTATTATCAAGGACACGACAGTGACTGCTGCTGCTTAACGTCCACACTTGCACGAGGCCAGCCAGACACTCACTCACACATACTAGGTCTACAACGTAAGCACGAGTGTTGTAAAACACCAAATAAAACTATACAATATAAAGCAGGGCTCGATGTTAACCATCCCCTGATCGACCGGGGGAAGTAGTTTTTATTTTTATATGTACACTCCAGGTAATTTGTAGCCTGACGTAGTCCTACTCAATTCTAGTCAGAATATGAGTCTGATACTGCTCCATAGAGCTGTGATTATGGGGCGTGTTTTGAACGAACCAGGAAAAAAATGCCTCTGCACTCAATTGGATAGACCTACAACCAATAAGAGCAACGGAGTGCGTGACCTATCTTAAGCGAGGCATAGTTGTTGTCCACAAAAATCAAAGCGGGCAGTTTCACGCCTAGAATAAGAAGATGAGACTTGATCGCGTTTCTCTGTTCCTCTTTTAAAATTAATTTGCTGTCGATATCTTCTAGAACAGACCTAATAGCAGAATCTACTCACCCAAACTCTCCAGCGGCAGCCATTATTGTTGTCACCCAAGCGCGCTTTGGTCACGTGGTTGATAACGTTACTGTTGATCATCTGTCCATCATCGTATAAAGTCCGCCCTGACAATTTGATTGGATCGCCTGACAGTGGGCTTTAATACTCGCGCTACTATGGAGCAGAGCCAGACCGAACTTCCCCGAACTCAAACCTTGTGGGCGGGACTAAGTTCGGACTGGCACCCAGGCTAGGTAATTTGGAAAAGCAGCATGATTTGAAGGGAATTTGCATGAATCAGACAAATTTTTTTTGACTTAGCAGGCTAAAAACAACCACAAGGCAAAAAAATGTAAGTACAGTAACACACCCACCAACTATTTTATCCTTCACCCGTTTCACCCACCACCCAGATAACCCTAGATTAAAAATTATCGGTCAGGGATTAGGAAAATTGGCATAATTGTATGCAATGCACACAGTGTAAATATGGCAGTCTTCTGTACAGTGATGCAGGTCATAAATTAAAAAATGTTCATTACATTTTTTTCTCTTAGACATTGGAGAGGTGCATTTAAATGATAGAGCTAAACATGTTAAATTGGTGACCTTCTATGTTATTATTATTGTCTTGTTGCTGCATTTATTTTGTCAGGGAAAACTAATCCTGGGTCAGGTAAAAGTCAGGGAATTCTGAAATTATGTAAAACTGTGGAAACCCTGTATAAAATAACTATGTATAATGATTCTCTAGAAAAGTCACATTATATTAATAGTATTATCTTGTATAAACATACCGTGACTCTAAAATAAGTTAAATAAATAAGTTTTTCATTTGTGACATCGACTTGACTTGTGATTTATCTTAAGTTTTTAACCTGTCAAGTTTTTTTTTTTTAGATTTTTAACATTACAATTTATATTTTCCAAGCACACAACAGTTTAAAGCAACGTTTAGTTTGAAAAGAATGTGCAGGAAGGATTGAAAAGCATGTTAACACGGTAATGTAGGTTTGAGTTCATTATCTGACGCATGCATATACACACCAGGAACCTGTAAACTTAAAAAAATATTGAATTACAAAAAACATTAAAAAAAAACCAAACGTTCCATTGAGAGATATATCTATCCATCCATCTATCTACATACATACACACACAAAAAATGAATATTAGGAACTATATTTATAATATTGGCATCTTTCTTCAATTTAAAACTTTATACCGTCTTTTTAACACAATTTACCATTATAATTACCGCCTCTTATGGCCTTATTCAGGGTTTATACAGGAATGAATAACTCAATTTTAACGTTTTTTAATGCTCTTAGAAATCATTTTAATGCCACCAACAGGTACCCGTCGACAGACTGCAGCCATGTCCCGAATTCCTTGTTTCCGACCACTTTTGTTGAAATTTGCAACATAGTCCCCCCCCTTATCTTTAGTAGCTTTAACAAAATCATTTGTTGTTATTGAACTTGATTGACCTCACACTTAAGAAATTTAACTCTGCATTTAACCAATCCCCTTGGGGAGTAGTGGGCTGCCATTGTGCGGCGCCGGGGAGCAGTGTGGGGTCAAGGGTCTTCCTCAGAGAGCCAGAGTGGAAGTCTGTGGAAGTGGGGCTCAAACTTAGAACCTCAAGATTCCAAGCTCTATTTCCTAACCACTAGGCTACCACTTCCCTTCACATTATTTTAAACGAAAGCCTTAATTATCTGTATGAAAAACAGTTAAAAAAAAAAAAAAAAAAAAAAAAAAAAAAAAAAAAAAAAAAAAAAAAAGCAAATGAACCTGAAAAGTTGCAGTTTTAAACCCGGTTTTGGTTTAACTACCAAAAGAAATTCAGTCACACCTGTAAAAAACCAGGCTGAAACATTAAGCATAGAGGCAGGTGAGGGCAATGCTACTACTTACATTTGTTTCAACTTGGAGGTTTCCCCATACACAAAGGGAGTTGGAGAAGGATCTTCCTCTGCAAAGCAAAATTAAAAGTAGTTAACTTTACATTTTAAAGTTACCAGTTGTTTAAAGAATACTAACTCTGAAGAATTATTTCTCTCATACATCAAATATATGAGAATCTTCATCCAGCCCAACACTGATGTATATCACTACATACAACTAGTTTAATCTCTAAACCTGGTTGTGTTTAAACTTACCTTTGTCCCAGTCCTCAGTTGAGTTTAGGTTTGTCCAAGTATTGACAGGGACATGCCAGCCATGCTCATTCTCTCCTGTCATTTAAATTAATAAACACAAATCAGTCTCAAGGCAAATGAAAGTTTGGGATCAATGACAGAAATAAAATGAACTTGCCATCTTCAGTGTCCACAGATATTTTGTTCATGCAGGTCTCGATGTGATGATCCAGCTCATGCTTGGGAACCAGGTGTCGAGCGTTATATGGACACGTTTTCAGTTTTTTGGCAATTTCTGGGTGATTCTTTGGAAAGAAAATTTCAACTTACCCATCAGTTGCATCAGAACAGTAATTAAATCTATTAATTTAAAAAAAACAATATATTGAAAGTGGGGACAATCCTATTTTGATGCAGAATTGCTGCATACAGGTAGGAGCTATGAAATCTTTACATCATTAACATCAATAACGGTTTGTGGTGGTTTATCCATTGCTCCAAAATCTCAACTAAATTCCTTTCCACCAGTGCTTGAAGTGTAACTGTTGAAAATTGAAGGAAGGAAGGAAGGAAGGAAGGAAGGAAGGAAGGAAGGAAGGAAGGAAGGAAGGAAGTCCTCTCCAAAAATTACAAAAATGGAAAGAGGTGTTTAAATTTCCACTGCAACTTTAAAGTTTGTTTATTGTCGAAATAAAACATCTTTTTATTAGAATACAAAAATAATAAATGTTTAAAATGGAATGTTTTCATAAAAACCACAATAGCACTTCAGATTTACTAACAAGCCAACCAATCAAACTGCCTACAGAGAAGCGAGCTAAACTTGTGGGATCAGAATAAAACAAAGGCAGGATCTGCTGCCATAGGTGGAACAACAAGGTATTACCATGAAGGTATTAAAATGTTGTAAACGAAATATGATTGATCCATTTTCAATACATTTAATCTCATTTGAAGAAACTTTCCACATTGACATAATAGCATAATGAGTTGAGACATTTGAGGAAGATTTAATACCATTTATAATAAGTCTTTAACACAAATGAGAAAAAAAAATTGCAGAGATGTGAATACTTTTCAGATGCACTAAATTGTACGAGTGAAAAAGTTGATAAAAAAAATTCTAAGCTAACCACTGAGTGTCCTTCACTGCAGCATTAGTCGTTTTGGACCTCTGTTTTCTCTTCTGGCTTTTAATAGCAAATTTGGGGTGAAAATTAAATGAATTCTTCCTATAAATTGGAAGACATTCAATTGAAGCTCAGATTCTTTGACGTTTCAAATAATCCATCAGGTGCATCTAAAATTTGATTTCCACCAGAAAACATTTTGAACCTTACCATCAGTTCCCACAACGTTACCCTGACTCCAAAACCTATTTCCTACCAACTCACCTTCCTGCACTTAATCAAGTGATAAGGGAAGCGGCAGGACCGGATTTGGTGGTTTGTATCAAAGGGACACTGCAAAAGCCTATCTGGATCCAAGTTGTCTAAAAGAGAAGTGTAAAACAATGGCGTGAAAGCAGACGTATGTCTCCATTTAGAAATAATATTGTAACAAGTTCAGTTTTACCATCATTTTCCGCAAGCTGCACTGGTCCAGTGCTGGAGCTCATCTTTGGTAGGTTAGCCATGCTGGATGCAGATTGGAGCAACTTATGTTAAAAATAATAAAAAAACAAAACAAAAAAAACACAATTTTTAAAAGCAGATATAAGTTTCTTCTACTTAATGAGCACTTCACTTTTAGGTATGTTAAAATCGTTGAATCAAAAACTAAAAGTCAGGTTTTAAACTAGGCATGCCCAAAGTTCTTCGTTGTGAGGTTTAATGGCGGTCGGCAAATATGTCGAATGCACATTAGCGCCACCTACCGCGCAGCTGATCCCGGTGGTTAATCGGTCAATGAAAATCAGCTGCGCTAAGATAGGAAAACCTTTAAAAACTGCTGGACAGCGGCCCTCGGGAACAGAGTTTGGGCATGACTGGTTTAAAATATGTTTTGGCAACAACACCACCATTTTCGGCTTAGGTCCAGCATAAAAGGCGAAATTTTAAATGGGATTTTTTTTCTACCCACCCATCCAAAATAAATTTTTTGTATCTTTTTCTTTGCCTTGAAAGCTTACTTGCCCAGTATCAATTCTCGTAGGACTTCGCGATTACCGTCCTTGGGAAAAGTTCTTCCTTCTAGTCATCCTCCAGAGAAATGGCTTAACTGTTTTCCCACAGCCAAATATGCTAACAGCTAGCATCCACACCGCTAGCCGGTCCTTTTTTTGTTATTTACGATTTAACTGCGGTCAGTCACTAGAAATGTAAGCTTTAACTCAGTCTATCAATACTGCTTCTGACAAACTGTGTAAAAGCGTATAAACTCACCATAAAAATAAAATTAAATTTCAACCAGCGTTTCTGGAGTCACAAGAAGTTTAGGCGCAGCGAAAGCGCCAGGGTTTATATATCAGCTCTACATGTCACGTGACCCCAAGACTCGAGAAGCAGTTGGCGGAGGTCTGCACTTTCCGATTGCGTTTCTGTTTTTGTTTTTTTTATCTTGTAAACTTTTCTTTCAACTTATTAATCAATTAAATGTTACTGAATACAGATGTTTGACATTTTTTAAGTTTAAACATACCTTTAAACCAGAGGTCTTCAACAGGGAGTCCGCGACCCCTAGGGGTTCCACAGTGGTACTACATGGGTGGCGAAAATTTTGGTTGATTAGACTTTTTTTATATTTCCCCCTGCAATTTTTTCCATTAATTGGAATGTCTTTAAATACACGTTAACATAAATTCAACACACTGTAGTAAACAGATACATGGAGGCAAAAGACGTCTTTCAGTCATCGATGCACACATTCAGCGACACACAGGAGCTCTTTCAGGATGGGCACCGTTTCATTCACAACACCTGTCCCATAAACCAGGAATCAGAATCAGAAATACTTTCGTTACATGTCTACACCAATAATATGCGGAAGATTAGGGCCACTGAAAAAAAAAAGGTAACTGATTTTTAAATTTTGTTTCAGTGTAATATTGGGAAAAAGTCAGAATTCTGAGATTAAAGTAAGAATTCTAAGAAAAAAGTCAGAATTCTGAGATTAAACTCAGAATTCTGATTTAAAAAAAAGTCAGAATTCAGAGATTAAAGTCAGAATTTTGAGATTACATTCAGAGTTCTGGGGAAAAAAGTCAGAATTCTGAGATTAAAGTCAGAATTCTGAGATTACATTCAGAGTTCTGAGGAAAAAAGTCCGAATTCTGAGATTAAAGTCAGAATTCTTAGAAAAAAAAGTCAGAATTCGGACTTTCTCCCCCATATTAAACTGAAAACAAATTTTAAAATCAGTTAACTTTTTTTTTCAGTGTCACTAATCCTCTTTTGTAGGCTGTGGGCTTATGAGTAGCCTGAACAAAATAAATCAAATCAAAGAAGTATCCTACCATGACTATGAAGCTGATCCCAGAGGGAAATTTGTTCACTATAAGATGGCTACTTTCACCAAGAGAAGGCTTGTAGCTTCATGTTTTTACACAGAACAGTGTAATCATTCATTTACTGTAAAATAAAGTCCTTGTTAGTGGCAGAGGTATAGCCAGAAACATTTTATAAGGGTGGCAAGGCAATAACCAACACTGAAGTGTGGCCTAAAGTGGATCAGCACCAGAACCTTAGGGTCAATCTATACTGATCCAACAGGAAAATGAACAACCACAACAACCATATTTTCGAAATAAAGACAAACTAAAGTTTCCTACAGCCTTTGCTAAAAAATAGATTAATATATTTAAATATCCATCTAGATAAAAGGTATAGTGGATAAAGTTCTTTCAGGTTTGAGTTATGGGCTGAACATCTTTTCCATTGTCATTACTTACTTACTTTTATCAATGATCATTCTGCATAAAATTGATATTTACAAGTACTAATATCTAAAAAAAATTACTAAGTTTTTATTAGAATAGTTATTAATCTATGATTCTACTGAAGACTGACTTGCATTTTCTCTTTACCCCATAAAACACAAAATCTACTTCTGAAAAGAGCAGGAATTCTTTACTTATTATCTTTAATGTTAGTATATTATTATAGTATTAGTGAATTATGTAGTCAGTGATGGGCGAAAGACACTGAGCAAGATTTAAAACTGTATGTAGAAAACAGAGATGTAGCCTTCCTGGGAAGGTGGCTCTCTGTCCAAGAATCGCCCCTATTTTACGGTAAATTATTAACAGTCAGCTTCCCCCTATCATACCGTCATTACGGTAACCCGTCCTTCCTCCTGTCAAACATGGCGCTGTCCTGCTCCAGGCTGTGCAGCCGGTTGTCTTTGATCCGACTGAGTGGTCTGAGCTCAAACAGGACAACAAATGGCTTTTATCTTCTAGACATTTCCCATCAGTCCAGGTCTGTCCTCAACGTGTGAACCTTTACCATTTATTACCTTCTTTTTAGACGTATATCCATACTGGTAGCTAAGCTAGCTAAACACCTGCTAAATATTGAAACGCTGGGTAAAATTAAATCGCTATAACAGCCGTTGGTTTTATTTTTATTAGTAGATATATTTATCAGAAACGTTTCCGTAGAAGTTCCTTTCTCGATCATATCTTCGTATTCAGCATATACTTTTATATCATCCTAGTGACAAGGTAACATTTGATGTATTGTTTTGTTTTTACGTCACAGGTTACCTTTGTGCAGATATTACACTTCCTCTAATGTCAGACGAGGTATTGGACGGTATGTTTCCTCCAGACTCCAGCGGGCAAATGCCAAATATGAAGGCTTCCTTAAAAGACGTTTTCCTCGATTTTACCAGCTTCATCACACCTTTGTGCAAGGTAAGATTAAAGATTACTCACCTGTGACATCTCTGAAACTCCATTAGTCTGGGTGTACTGCTGGTCTGTCTTTAGATGTTTACATCTTATCCTAAAGGTTCTCAGCTTTCCCAGGTGAGCCGCCTGTGGAGGTGGCATCATTATGTGGGTTTGCTTTTTCCTCAGCAGATAGCTCGGTATGGATGATTGTATGGAACATTGGGATATATGTAGGAAGGAAACATCTTAGATTTGAAATCCAGATATTTAAGGCAGGCCTGTGGTATAGCAGCTGTTGATTTATACTGCTGGATTAATATAGGAATATTTATGTATGTTTCGGATTATTTAATTTTTTTTGTAAAAAGAAAGTCTTGGTGGAGCCATGGAGATAGGAGAGTACCACAGGAAGACTAATCATGCTAGATTGTTAGGGCATCCAATAGTTCTGCCCATTCAAAATACAGGTATATCTGTGACAGAACCAATACTTTAGGTTATTGCTGCACAAAATACACAACCATTAGGATGAAACTTAATGATTAAGCATTTATGCTCCGTATTATAGTTCTGATATTAGCCAACCAAAGTATGTTTTTTTAATCTAGAGCCTGTTTCAATCATATTCAGTGGACTAGTATGTGAAGTTTATAGATGTCAGAGATGAGTAGAGCAATCTAAATATAATTTTCTACCATTAAGTCGAAGTGGTCCTAGTCTTACAAATACTTACCTCTTTACATTTGTATTCATTGTATGCATTGAACTATGTATAACTGCATGTAACAAACAAAGTGTCCGCTTTACCCATCTCAAACATATTCTTTATTATTTTTTACTTAACACTAGGTAAAAGTAAAGCGCATGATGTGATATTAAAGATCTGTTGTCTATTTACTGTAGTTTAGCATGGTTTACTGATGTCTTTGGCAATGCTAGCGTGGCTCTTCCCTCAAACTATTTAAGTTCTGTGCGTCGCCATTGAGCTTTGAAATGTTGCCCAATGTCGCCATTGTCAGAACTCTTATCTCTGACTCTTAGTAAATCATCATATGTCGTTAAACAAGTTTAAAACTTTAAAACACAAAGTTTTATTGTGCAATCTGAATATGTTTTAAAAGGCTCAAACGTCAGGAAAAAAACAAAAGCAATGTTCAGAAATGCCATTTAAGATGTTCTAAATGGAGCTTAGAGGGTTTTTTTCTTTTTAAATACAAAAATGTATATATATTTTCTGAACATTTTTGGCTTAATAACTTATCTGAACTCAACTTTTTGAGTCTGGATACACCATTTATGGATTATTAGATTATTTGACTATTATTTCAGTAATCGATTCATGCCATTTATTGTTTCAGCCCTACTGCAGGATGACCATTTAAAATTTTGAACCTTTTAAGCAGAGCTATAATGAGATGGTTTAGATAAGTGAATCTGAATCCTTCTAAGGACCCAACTGTCCTGTGTGTTTCTGGTGTTTCCCTGCTGCCACAAACCTGCCTTCAACAAATGCCACTTTATAATATTGACAATGTTTGACTTGAGGAGTATAAACACATCTAAAACCAAACATAGGGAGGAGTTAACCAGGACTGAGAATGTGTTAAAAATTAGAACTTTACTAAAAGAAACCTAAATTCAATGGAGAATTGGTGAAAATGTTCAGTACATTCTTCCCTCTGAACATGAATCAGCCAGTATAGAGAACAGATGGCCTCATGGCTGCCTACAGCTGTCCTTGGTGACAACCTTTTATGACTTTGAGCTATAGATAGACTCATGCTCGATTGGGTATTTTTATCCTTTAGTTTCAGGGTAAATATAACTCAAAACAAAAGTAAATCCTCCATCAATTCTCGTTTTATATCTTTGTTTAAAGGGAAACTGCCTTACTCGGTAAACAATGTGTATTTAATAAAAAAAATAAAACCCAATGAAGATTTCCTCTTGTCCTCCTCCTACCCCCGTCTTTGTCTCTGACTTTTTAAGGATTCAAGATGCTGTTCCAAGATGCCAGAGATGCAAGGAGGATAAAAGCCAAAATGCTGGTCGATGGAGTGAAATTCCAGGATTTGCATTACAGGGAGATGGAAAAACTCAGACAGGTGAGCTTGTCTTCTAAAAGAACCTTTGAGCTTTTTATGTTAATGGCTAGGTACTTACAGGAGGCCTATAAAAACATTTTGCTGAAGGGAAATTTAGTTTAGGATGTTTTTTTGTCTTTTTTAAACAAAAATATTATAGTAAAGCCAATTTATTACAAATATTTAATATGATATACTGGTTGAAAAAGAAATGAAACAACAAACAACATGAACATGCAACACGGCAGCAACACAGAGGGCCGATCAGATTACTCTAGCACCGGTTTAACAGTTAGAATAACAACCATTCTATCAAGCTGAGTGGTGGTTTTTACATCCATGCTGTTTGCATAGTTTCTGGCTCAGTTCCTTTTGTGAATTGTCGGTTGTTGTTTTTTTCACTTGCATGGTCAAATATACACATTTTGTGGTTTTCCAGCCAGGTAACTAACCACAGCCTTCCTGATGA